CCATGTTTCTTATAGCATAATGACATCAAGTTGGATGTATTCTCGACAGCTTGTTATAAGTTGACACTACTCTAATTTGTTTACAAGCGAACGGATGTTGGAACTGTTCAAAATAGGTATACTCATGACATCGAGCTTTTTCCTTCGAAGTGCAACCCGCCATCCTGCGCGGTGCTTTCTTGTAAAACTACTTCGTTTTCTTTTGTTGCTTTTCCATTTGTTCTGTACAGACTGATTAGGAAGTGCTAGGTTCTCGTTCGTGGAAACACGCAAACATTTTAAACTGTCACGAGCGTAGGTAATCGTGACGCGACAAGTGCAAAGAAAAACTGATGAGTCAAAACAAGGGCAACAAAATGCGAATGTGAGTGTGTGTTGATAAATCCGGTGAACAGGAATAACAAAGCACGGCCGAAGTTGATGGCCGCGTCGTACTTTCGAGAGAGTACAGGCGTCGTGTGAGTGCCTCTCGGTAGCGGTTTTGATAGGCGCAATCACTTGACTTCAAACAAATGACCAGATGATTAATTTACCTATCCACTGTAGAGCTTAATCGTTTGCAGTAAGGGGAAAATAAAAAGTGAAAACCTTGTTCACTATTGTCACTGTGTACCCAGTTTGTCGAGTGCGTCGTATCAACGATGGATAATTGACAGGTTAACAATTTGCAAGCGCTAAGTAGAGTCTGGAATCATACTGAATGACAAACTGTAGGTAGTTGCACATTATCCAGGCTACCAGCAAGTTCGAGATGCTTGGCTTTCCATGCACAGTAGCTTAAATTAGCAATTGACGAGAACATTTGTTACGTTCATCCAAATGATGTGTATTCATAGCTTATACAACCACTACCAACCTATCCCGCAGACTTCCTTGTAGGCTTACTATTTTATGCTCAAACTAGCAGCCTAGTGCAGCAGACACTTGCATTCTTAGGACTTTAGATTTCGCGTTTATTGACATCCTAAATGATAAGGAAGTGTTCCACAGAAAAAAGTGTCAAGAACTGAATGTTTTTGGTTGTGGTATGGCGCAGTCCGACTTTTGGTCTAGCTTGAGCTATTTCGCTTATTTTATTTAGCACCAACATTATTTTGCTGACTTGGGTTTAGCACAAAAATCCGTAACAGAGAATTACTTGGGACCGAATGGGCCGCAATCTATATCAAGCCAGCCGCGCTCAACAGCTGAGTCGTCTTATTGAATTGAAGACCGAAGCAACGTTACCTGGACATGATCAAGATGAATTGCTCACCTACTAAGGTTAAGTTCACTTGTTGAGAATCAGTGTTTATTTGAGCGAATGACATGATTTGATTAATAGGGAAGTAACCCGGCTTCGGAAGAAATCGCTACTGCATGCGTAATAAGAACCTCGGTTGAGGAAACGACAGGCTCCCGTTTGGTAGCACAATCGATCGCGATTGCCTGGGCCAAGGAACCTTGGTAAGCCACCAGCGTGGCCTCGTGTTGCCAGCATTCAAAGAACGACGTATCAATTGATTTTCTTATCATAATCAGTGCAGAAATTGATAGCTGGACTGCGCCCCCATCGATTCGATCCATTAACCCAGGCCAATGGTACGGTTGACGTGGTGTATCGTCTTTGCAGTTGGTCTGTGAGTGTGCCTGCGTGTTGCGGCTCATTCTATTCAGCAGTTGCTATTTGGCTGATATTCCTGGTGTGGCAGCGCTTGATCTGAATGTTTGTAATGTGCCTATCCCATCGTCTCTACTGGCGCCAAGAGACCGTTAGTCTTTGAAGGAAGGAATATGGTGCACAATAATTTTGACGGTCCTAGGCTCAAATTGTGGTTTCATGCATCCATTATGGAACGGGCTACGGCCTAGCGACCGCCTTGTATGCGTCTGGTATGCATGCTTTTCCAAGTAGGCTGGAATGCTTCTGCTTTTTGTGTGCAAGTGTCGCTCTGCATTTCTGCTGCAAATGACGAGCCGCAAACAACATATCCATGGTGCTGCGGGTTGAACGGAAGCTGCAATGCGCTCTAGCCACCTTTGGTTTAAAGATCTGATTGAGGAGGCGCTTGAGCAGGATGTGGACCATTAAATTGCCTGCGCAACTCAGCAACTTGATAGCACGCTAATTCGTGGCACATTGCTTGCTCCCTTTGCTCCTGTACAGTGGTAGCGCAAGCGCATCATTCAACTCAGCCTGTATATCCTCTTTAAACTACACTCGTTGCACTAAGTAGTGCAACGCCTGTATCAAGAGGGTCCGCCGTGTTTCTTATGGCGATAATCCGTCGGCTCCGCCGCACTGGCAGTTTCGCAGCTGAGCAAGTACTCTCTGTGTCTCATCTAGTGTCGTTATGTCGGAACACACTGATTCATCTCCTGGTGTTTTGACCCGTGCAACGTAGGCCATTCAATCTCTTAACTTTTGTTCAAGAGAGAATTAAAGTGTGTTTACCAGATCTACATTATGTCTGCTGTCTGTGTGCAGGTACCGCTTGAAGTGGCATCGATCAGCGTCCTCGGCGGCTACAATGTGCATCCATATACCCTTAGCCAAGTGTCAAAGAATTTCATCCGTTGCTGGCTTTCGCTGTAGCATTCCATCTGCTCCGCCTTCTCCGTCCACCATGCATTTTTTTGCGACAGAGCTCTCGAGTCAGTCACCGTCGAAGTTTGAGCAAATGACCCTTCCTCTTGGAGTCCGCAGTGTCACCCACATGTGCAGCAAATGCAGTAATCTTCACCGGCGCCAATGCGAACATGGTCGCAATGTTGTCGTCAAACCAATCGGGCCGCCTACACTTTGCGCTTCTGATGTTTCTTCGAAAACAGCCGTCACCTACTAACGAACCTGATGCTAGAGATCGCTCACTGAAGCTGTGGGTTTGACATCTGCCAAATTCGGACTCAGCATCAGCACAAACGCGATTTTTTGCTTTTCCAGCCTTCCCCAGAAATGGGGTCTTAAGCCTGCCTCAAATCCGGGTTCCTTGAAACGTAGTGGGGACAGCATCGAAATCTCGCTGCCTTGGGAGCGCAATATCAAATGACGTACAGATGACGATCGAACTGTGATTCCGAATCCAAGGTGGCTTCTGCGCTTAGCAAACTGAAGAAATGTGTGTGGCGGAATCACCAGTTGGGACGGAGTTAAATATATACAGGTCGAAGGCGCTGTCCGTTCTTCTCTGCCGAAGCGCAAGTAAGACGGTGTTATCTGGAACAGGTCCATTCACAAATTCTACATCACAATTTGCGCGTCGACTGTTGTGACTGAGCTGTAAAAACGGAAGAGTTGCGCCGCAGCAGCATGTACACAAGAAAGTGCATAATTCTGCTGCGACAACTGAAGTGCCTGGAATATACAAGCCAAATGAATTATGCCTGTATCTTATGTTTGGCCAATTGCGTGCAGGGATGCGGCGCGTTGGAAAACCGCAACAACATTACCTGGGCATGATCAAGATGAGTTTCACACGTACAATGTTGTTTTCAGGTGTTGAGAATCAGAGACCATTGCTTGGCACGAATAGCTTGGGCTTATCAAGTGAACGGTTGCCAAGGTTTCTCAGAAAGTACTATTACTTGCGTACTAGGAATGCCGGTTGAGGAAACGATAGGCTCCATGGTGTCTTGCCCATCGACGTCAAGCGCGTGGTGTTGTTGCACATGTAGTCGCGAGTGCCTGAGCCAAGCCTGCATGGTAAGCCATCAGCGTTTGCAATTGCTGCCAACAGTTAAGATAATGTGAATAGGCTGAATAGATAAGCATCATCTGCACAACGCTTGTTAAATCCCATTATTCTGATTTAATGTATTTAGCCAGCCCGATAGTGCGATCGATGTGGCAGTTGTGCTACCTCCTCACTGTAGCTGATCTGTTCGCGTATGTGTGTTGATTTCCTTGTGGTTCAGGAGTTGGCTGTTCATTGATAACCCCGGTGTGGTTGCGTTTGATGTGAATGTTGACAAAGTACTCGTCTGTCTATTACCTTACACCTAGCGTACTGGCCATAGCAGACTGGAATTCGTTGCTGGGAGTGCGGGCTGCATGGTCACTGTGAAATGCCAGGTTCCGTCCAGTGCAGAGAGGGCTTTGGCCTAGCGACCGCTTTGTGTACGTTTGATATGCATGATTCCACAATTAGACGGTAGTGGTGCCGCTGTGCATGTTGAGGAAGTGCAGGCGTGCTCCGTTGACGGAACCTGACTCACATCCACATGCCTCTCGATCTTATTCATTCCGGTTTACACTGCATATGATGTGTGTAGATGGAACTGTGGATGGTGCAAGCAAGCTACCTTTTTCGCTACGTAGGCACAGGTGTATATATATATATATATATATATATATATATATATATATATATATATATATATATATATATATATATATATATATATATATATATATATATAACACTTTATGGTGGCCGCATGCTTGCGTTCAAAAGAAAAAGTTGTTTGACAAATCTGGTCTAGTCTGTTTTGGTGCCTGGCGTTAAACAATTTTGTGCCGCGACTCACTTTTACTTAGACTTAGAATGCGGCGTTTCATTACGCATTGCCAAGACTTTGTCCCCCATAATTCTCCAACTCTTCTCAGTCTGTCTGTCTATGCAATCGTCATGGTATTCAGCTTAATACAAACACGGTTAGCTGCACATCTTTCATAAGCTTTTTTGAGCTCTAATGCACAGCTACAATTCGTATTCGTTTCTGATTCACACGGTACGAGATATGTCTCCTGCAACGAAGCTATGTTCGCCTCTGTCCAAAGGGCTCTATTTGAACATCGTCAAATGTGTAGGTATAGATGGCTTCGCCCGGTTATATTTTATTTTAAATGTAACCCGTATACGTTAAATCTTAAGTCAATTATCGAAGTCACCAAAGTAGTTAGACAAACTTTGGCGCCTACGGTGAGCGGGTTTCCCAACACAGTCGACATGGATCGCTAGATAACCGTATAACAATTTAAATATTCGTTACAGCTTTTCTTTACTTCCTTTCATTTGCAGTGGCAACAATTGTACCCCAGTTTTTTGGACACAGCTTCATTCGTTTACCCGGACCATCAGGAGAGCAGTCGATGCAAAGAAAACGTCTCCTCATTGAACTAATATTCATAATCACAGAACTACCAGGTAATTGAGATCGTTTCCAACTTTGTTACTAACTAATTTTAAATACTGTGCATGTGCTTGCCAGTATCATATCGCGCAAGCGATCCAAGGCACAATCGCTCAGCAAAGACTCCGGAAGCATCACCGGTGTGGAATATAGGGATTAATAATTAAATGTTTAGATTTGAAATTTGCTATTGAACATTGAGTGACGCCTCAACACTTCTAATCCCCACCTTGTTTACTACCTTAACCGAAGATAAGCAGTCTCGTGGTGGACCCAAGAGGCATTTACCAACTGTCCGCACTGTAAACCAGTGATAAACTCATCAAAGCGCTATGCACAGTGGCAGAGTGGCACAGGAGTAAAAAATGCTATGGCTTCAAAATTCCTGTAGAATGATCTGTGTGAAATATATAAGTGCAAAGAGGAAACTTTTCCAGTAAAATAAGCTGCGTATCTAAAGATTCACCATGATATTCGCAGGAACACACATGTAAACCCGATTATCCTGAACTTGTGCGCGGACTGGTCAGCACTGTGTTGCATACGCTTTGTCCTCAACCGATGAAAGGGTGTTCAATAGTTTGTAGTGCATGATGTGATAAAAAGCATAACTTTACTAGACCCAAAAGAAGGCAGGTACAAAAGCAAATTAACGTCAAAATGTTCTGGGGTGGAACATGAATTACCCGTATTTTAATGATTGCGCTTTGTCATACAGTTGTATAGCTTTTACCATTAAGATGAAAGTCTATTAACCTTTCGAATGTCACGATGTTTGTTGCGTTCACTGTATGTATTGTCACTGCATTCTAGTGTGAGAGAATTCTTAGATTAAGAAAAATTTCAACGCTCCAAATGAGAGTGTAAGTTACTGGTTACATGTGGTTGGCTCGGCGTTGTTTGTAAGGGGTTAGCGTCAGCAATGCGTTACATCGATGGCCGTTTTCTTTTACTATACGATAGGTGAGAATGAGGTATCGGCAAAGCCATTAGGAAAATATACCGAAGAAATGGAGGCACATTTCTTACTTTAGACCGCAAAGTCGACTTATTGTGTTGGTGGCTCTTCGTTGGATTTGCCCCAAGAGACGAATGTCTCAATTCAGTCACGGACACCAGGTCTGAAATGCATACCCAACGCGCGGACGTATATAAGAATCAGTAAGCAGGAGTACAAACAGTCGCTCGAAGACACCAAGAGCTCACCTAGAAACATGTGTGTTCAAGTTCGTCACCTATACTGCCTCGAACACTGGAGCGAATTGACAAGACTTTATTGGATGATGTCACCCAATTCTGTTTCAGTAGTCACGTGATGCAGGATGTGCTGCCCAAAATATATGTTGTTGAATCCGCTGTGCAGCGTCAGCAGGTGACACATTACATGGTTCAGGGGAGCTGGCTCATTTCCGCTCATCCGTAAATCCGGTCCACATCATTCTGGAGATAGGCACTGTTGGATGTGGAACAAATAGATCTCCAGATTTATTATTTGCATCGAGAATTAAATATTAGATGGGTCATTGATATAGACTGAAAAAGGTAGCGGACCCAAGATGGATCGTTGCGGTAGACCACTAGAAAGCCGCAAGCTTTCTGATGTGTTTCGGCAAATCTTACCTTTATTGTCCTGTAGGGTTGGTAACCATCCAATCAGGTGTGCAGGAAATCGTATTTATCTTTGGCACCAACCTTTCAGAGGAGAACTAAGTTATTAAGTCTGTCGACTGCCTAAGTAAAATCTGAGTAAATCAAATCCACGGAGAACGCTTTGTCAGCCGCCCTGGTCCATGCATCCCAAGTAAGAAGGTGCTTGGTGAGACAAGTTTGTTTGCATCTGCAACCAAGTTAAAGATCGCGAAGAATTTTTTGGAATTTCAAAATATTGCGTCAGTTCCTTCGCGATTCTCGATTCCATCACTTTAGATAAAATAGGAAGGAGAGTATTAAGCAGGTGGTTGGCAGGATCCGATCGCTTATCTCCTTTGTATATCGGAGTGATGATTCCATTTTTCACTCAGGTAGGAGTGTAGGGGATCAAGCGGATATTGGAAAAGGCTGCAAAATGTACTTCTATGGTGAACGCAAGAATCAAAGAATCTTTAAGCTGATCCCGTTGATTCCCATGGCAGTTTCCTCGGAGGTACTGCAGTTTGCTTACGACAGCTGCTAGGGTAAAGCTGACGATGATATTTGCTGGGAAGTGACAAGGTTTTATGATGCTTGTAGTCACTGAGTCAAACTACAGGTGTAGTGCGTTCGCACTATCCACAGCAGTAGCCGTCACGTCACTGGCAGTCTTGAGTAATAATAATAATACATATATGACTCCTGATGTGAGTAACTGTGTCAGTAGCGGCGCGGATCAATTTATACAAAAGTATCTATGCTCTTGCATGGGTGACATGCATAGGTGGAATATTGGGGTACGCGTTTCATATAGTAACCTTTTGGTGGATGGGTGATTCAAAAGCCTAGTTTGGAAAACATTGATGTTTGGATGATTTTAAGCCCGTCTTGGACTAGTTCATCGAGGGATTTTCCCATGTGAATATAGTGATTATAGTATTTAGATCAAGGTAAGTGGATAACCTGCTTCCAACTGTTGCCGTATTGTCACATGATTTGTTATTGTTAGTTTATTCCACAGATAGTTATCTGACATCTGACCAAGAAGAAATTAGAGCAAACTTTCTTCTAGCGTTCGGTATATTTAGTGTAAATTTTTTGTTGCGAAGCGTCCGAGTTGAGCAATGTTGTAATTCGAGTGTAGGCAGGCCGGAATAAGTCTTTTTATTTAGCACGTTGAAAAGCAGCAGCAAGTTGTGCTTCAAACGTCGAATCCAAAGTGGTTCGAGCTGAAGTTCGTTACAGTTTTCAAGATACCTCTTAGCAGGGTGTTTATCAATCAGATGTTTAGTAAATGACCTCTGCAGGTGCTCCACAGCCATTCTGTCAATTTTTCTCATATTGCCGTACATTATTCGGCAGTATTCGAGGACGGTGCTTGTTAGTAGGTTGAAAAGCTCAACTCTAGCTTGAGTTGTGTGGATTTTGTTTGAGATATGGAACATATATTGTTTGACACTTGCATTAGCACTTGGTATTGGGTCCGCGCGGAGAAATTGGAGGTAGAAGAGTACCTACTTCCAAGAGCTTTCGTGAGCAGTTGTGTGGAGACGCGTTCATTATTTGGGGTGATAGGTCCTTCAAGGATACTACAGCCGTAAGACATGATGCTTGCTTTTTTAGCTGAGGTTCATCATCCATGTACGACACCATGGCTCAAAGGAATGTAAGTCATCTTGAAAGAGCAGTAGCGTCCCGTGAAGCTCGTCACGCGGAAGCTTATAGACGATCTTGATATCGTCTGCAAATAAAAATGGCGTGCCGTGTTTGACAGATGTGGTGATGTCACTGATGTAGAGTAGAAAAAGAGAAGGACCGAGTAAGGATCTTTGAATGACCCCACTGGCGCTAGACCGTGAGGAAGAACGATAATCACCTAAAGTGATTACCTGATGACGATCACTCAAGTACAACGATAGCCAAACTATTAACGAGTTTCGGATTCCAAAGTTCCACAAGTTTTGTAACAGTCGCTTGTGAGGGACTCGGTCGAATGCTTGAAGTATGTCAAGAAACATGATTAATACTGTATACTTAGAATCGATTGCTTCTGAAATGTGGTTCCCATAAGGCAGTTAATAATAGTATTATTGTTATTAAGATTAATGATAATAAGTATATTTCCCCTCGATTGAGAAACTGTAACCTTATTTGGCACAGATCACGCTCATGTGTGACGAATAAACAATTGTTTGCTTTTCATAGCTTTTACTGTTGCAAGTGTTTGTATTTACTCAAAGGTGCGTTTCAACGCTTTGTGCACTAGTTGGAATAGTGGATGGTAACAGCACTAGGGCTGTGTCAGACATTTTAAAAATTTTATGCCGCTAATCAGATGTTGTCTGACCGTTCTTGGTACAAATCGTCAAGTGATCTCTCCCAAAAGAACACAGTCATAATCGTGTTCAAGTCTAAGTAATCGGTGAGCTTAACCCAAAAGGTTGTGCATGAGCGCTTGCTAAGAAAAATTATGTTGCGAATTATTTATCTGGCCAATAGAATCGATAAAGTTCATCAACTCCTTTCTGACCAATTCTTCAAATAGCCGAGCGATTACCGGAGGGTGGTGGATTGATCATGTCTGGGTATCGTGACAGTTGGAGGCAGGACGGGAACCGAGACATAATGCTTAGACTGCGGTCGGTTTGCCAATGAACTAGCTTTGTCATCTGGACACATTGGAGGAAGAGTAGGATCAAAATGTTGGTCTCCGCCGGATATGTCTGAGATTAGAATGGGTGCGAATCCATTCCCGTCGCCGCTAAAAAATGGTTATTGCCAGAAGACGTTTGTGAGGTTGTAGGAACATGGAGAGGAACAGGTGGGAACACAGTCCTATTGGCCGATGTCTTTCCACCACCTGTGCCCTTCCAGTGATTGTTGTGGAATGTGGGATGATAACTAGGCGCAGCCACGATCCAGTTGATATTCGACAGGGAAGGTCGTTTGTCATGGTGTTTGCAGGAGGTGGGACGATAAGAAGTTTGGGTACAACCGAGTATTTGGTAACAATGAGTATTTTTAAAGAAACAATGAACTATGAATTACATGAGATTGTCTATCCTTGGACTTGTCTTGGTGGTTTGGACCAGACTGTGATATATTTAAGGTATTGTCACTGCTTCAGTATTTCAAGGACTCAGGCTTTCCTTTAATCCATATGCATGAGGAGTTCTATTTAATGGGTGTGCCGTTGTCAGTACTGGGAGAACCTGCTTTTTCCTTTCATTGTATATAGGGGGTTTCAGTGGAGAAATGAAGGACAGCTTTGGAGCTAGTTGACAATGCTGTTAAATTATTGAGGTCCAAATCAATACATCTAGTATCTACCTTGGATGCACTAATATTTTGGACTTGTGACTGAGAGATCTCGATGAGTCGTTAT